GGGAAATGAAGGATTGGTTTTGTTTGGTCAGTGAAGACAATGGGCACGGATCAAATAAGGGTTAACAATAATGCCCTTGAACAAATTGAATCAGAACATAATGCGTGTATTGAGTTTGATTGCAACATGCATGTCCATGGAAAAGTTTTTTATTTAAAACAAATCAAGACTCTGGCTTAATTATCAAAGCAAAACAAGAGACATAAAGAGCTACATGTTTCTGATACAGCTTTTTTCAAAAATAGCTCCCTTCACACAATTATCTACATGTTTAATTTCCATGCATAATAGCAACAGTTATTGTTGTCATTTGTTAAGAGAGATTAACAGATAGTAAGTACAAACAAACGCAAATAAATCCTGAATAGAGAGGTGACAAAGAAGAAAAGACCTCTCTAATGTTAATTATAACTGGTAGGAAGTCTAGGCAAATTACATTAACTGTTTTCTGTATGAATTGAAGGGACATTTAGTTAGTTTCTATGTCACAGATACTGTTACATATTTGTTTTTTAATGCAGGTAACTTCACAGCTTAGAACTCCATTTAGAAATGTAATTTATCTAGAAATATACTTTTCGGAGTTATGTGTTTAGATGATTTTTTCTTAATTGTTAAAAACAAATAAAATAGTAATGCGCTTGTTTGGTTTGAATCCTAAAATAAGCTGATATTTTTCTTTTAAGCAGAGTCTTTCATTCTTTTTTCATCTTTTGTATTTTGTGACCAGCAAAGTTCCCAGCTCTTTCTTCAACAGTGACTAAATTAGACTGAAACAACTGCATAAAGAAACTTGCTTCAAATGTCATTCTTCCATGATAATTTGGGTGGACCGTCTTTATGCGTTCCCTGTAAGATAACAGAAGCAGTACCTTACAAGTGGTAAAGTCCTTTGATTCTTAATCATTAGCTAAAAATGCCAATAGGTGGCAGAAAACAAACACAGTTACTTTTATCAAGCATTATTATCATGGTTGTCTATTTTTGAGACATTTTGTCTACTCAGGTGAAGTTGTGATGCTGCTCCCATTCCAGGCTTTGTTTTTTCAGTTGCGCTTGCATTCCCTAATCAAATACCTTACTATCTGGCAGTTTTCACACTTTGTTTTTGTGCTGTAATAAATTGTCTTAAACTTCAAATGTAGTCATGAAATATGTTTTGAGTCATGAATGTTCTCTTTTGTGCACACACAATCTTTCAGTCGTTACCAACTGAAACAATTATGCACTTAAACAGAAGGGTTTCTGTAATGGGTTAGCTTCCCCCCCCGCCCCCATCCCGCTGTGTATTTTAAGGTCCTGTTTGTGTCAGACTATTACCAGATGTTTCATAGGAAGGTATAGGTGCCACGTTATAAGCAAACATGGCGTAAACAGCTTTCCTCGTAGAGCATATCTTCATCTCTAAGAATTAACTTAATGGGTGATACGTGACATTTCATTATCCTTTCCAAAAATGTTTTTGTGTTTTCTCTCACAGTGGCTCTTATGATATTCTCAGTACTTATGTAAGTATCTGGGGTCTGAAGATCTCAAGTTCTTTCCTTCAGTAACTTTTTATGATAATAAGTTATTCCATGTCAATTAAAACTGAGTTATTTAAAAAATGCAAGGCAATGTAATTAACACCTTACTTTTTAAAAAATAAATCTTAGGTCCCCATGCAAAACCAAAGCTAAGGACTAGCTTTTTGACTTGAGACTCATTTGAGTCCACTGATCTTAGAAGACCTTGGGTCAGATCCAAAATTAGGAGTTTTAATGAAAAAGCATCTGCTGATGAAGTAGCTCAGTCTTGGTACAGCAGCCTGTGTTTTTTCTAATGCCACTTAAGAAGAATTTGTTATAAATAATTTGTATGTGACGAGGAGAGTGGTACTAGGACCACCACTAGGTGCAACAGACCAGAATGAACTCCATAGAAGATTTCTGAATTCCTGGAATTTTCTCACCTTGCAGTACTACATTAAGTTGTTAGCATGCATAACAATAACGCTCAAACGTGGCAATCAGATACAGTGATTGTACTGCTTCCAAAAACTTTACTCGAACGTTAACTGTGCCCTTGTTTTAATAAGAGCCCCAGAGCGTGATTTATCTCATCCCAAAACCTATTAAGTGAATTGCTTTTTGGAGATGCTTTTGTCTTCCTCCATTTACTATAAAGAGATGATAGGGTGACTAGTTTAGACTGACCATCGAATTCTTAGATATCAGAAGCTGGGTGAAATGAAGCCTAACTATATACAGGAGCAACAGGAAGTGTTTTGTTGGGCATGGCACTGAGGGGAATAATATTTGAGGATATGATATGGCTGAAGAAATAGTGAAGGAAGAGAGGTTCTAGAACCTGGGAAGTTTTTTCTGAATAAAGGAAGCTATTCAGAAAGGATTTGAGGTTTTCTTCTTTAAAAAAAAAAAAAACACCTTGAATCAAACTGCTAGTGCTTTTAAAAAGATTATAGGAGAATAAGGAGAATATATTCTTAAATTGAAGAAAGTGGTAAAGGTGGCAGATGTGAAAAGATAGTGTTCAGGTTATCTGTTCCTCTAGAGAAGTTGTCGTAAAAAGCCCTCAAGCCTATGTACTCCAGTAAATGATAGGAAATAAATGGGCAAAAATAAAAAAATCAACTTTTAAGAGCAGTTATAGTAAAGTCTTATTTTAACAAGACTTTGGAAAATGTAAACTGAAATTTGTGTGTGCCTCTGCACAAGTTCTGAAGCATCAGAAATAAGATAACTGAAATATGTAACTTTGCTAGGTTACTGTCATAATCATATTCAATCCGGACACTGGATTACTGAGGTACAAAATAAAGATACGGTTTGGACCATGCTGGTGAGAAAAGGAAATTCAGGTCGTGTAAGATTAACAAATTAGTTTTGTCAGCAAGACCGAATCTCTCTGAACTGAATACCAGAAAAAGTATGTAGTTGTAGGGTTGTTTTACTGAGCGCCCAGTCAAGGTGGTGATAGTGACTGTAGTGTTCTGAGTGAGGCTGTGGAAAGTGGAGGGGGAGGGAACACAATAGTAATTGGAAACTTCAGTCGGCATCGTGGAGGTTAGGTAGAAGCCATGCCAGAGGATGATGCTGAGACAGCTTATTAAGGAGCCAACAAGAAGGGAGGCAAGCAAATTTTTGAGTTGTCTTCTGGTTCACAGTATTTCTGTCAAAGTGCCAGCAGTCGTACTATGCTTAGATTCAGCTTCCTTGGGGGAGCAACAGAAACGGAAGATTGGAAACAGAGGTGAAAATAAATGCTCACTGTTCACAGAGCAGACTACAACAGCAGAGATCTGTGATAATCTCAAATCGGAGCGTGTTAACAGTGCTGAACTACTCAGCAGTAGTACAGGCAGGGGCTGTTTGAGGAGACTGGCAGAAAGACCTTATGATAGCAAGTTGACTGATGAGTTAACAATGGAAGATGAAATCCTTTGTTGATTAATGTTAAGTGATGCAGATGCTAAAAACCCAATCCCAATGTTGCATATAGTATGTATATTGAATATTACCGTTTAAGAATAATATTATGATAAATATCTGTATGAAAATATCTGCTTATTGCTCAAATGTTCAGTAGTGTTACAGGCGAACTGAACTTAAGGAATTAAGAGAGGAGCAAAGAACAAGATAGAAAATATCTTCATGTTCCTCCAGCATTTTGAATATAGTGTGCCATACTGGTTTCACCTCCCTCCCCTTTTCTCCCATTTTCATGCTCCCCCTCACTTTAGAAACAAACTGGAGGACATTCAGAGAACGGCAACAAAGGTGTGGTTTCCGTGTGAGAAGCAACTAAATAAGTTAGGACTGTGGCTTGGAAAAGAGCTTGATTGCAGGTGATGTGATAGAGATCTGTAAAATCATGAGTGGCATGAAAAGGTGAATGCAAAATGATTTTTCCTAGTCTCTTCCAATACAAGAATTTGAAGGCATTAAAAACAGAAAATCCTAATGGGTGGTGTGTTCAAGAGAAACAAGATACTTTTTCATAGAATGTGTAGTTTTGCAGGATGTTGTAGACTGGTAGAAGTTTACGTTGTTTCAGAAGGCAGTTGGAGAGGTTCTTTGGGGTGGGAAATAATGCATCTAGGGCTACTGAATATATAGAAACGCTGATTCTGGAGGTCCTCGAGACATGCACCTCTCAAACCTGGAAAAATTCTCTGGAAGAATGTTAACTGTATGCTTTTTTTCTTGTGCTATTCCCTAGGTATCTCCTGTTGGTCATATTTAGAGACAGGATATTACATTAGTGTAACCTGTGGTTGGATCTGGTACAAAAGATGTCCTTACATCTTCCTGATCCTAGAAGCATTCTTTCTTTGACTGAGAGATGCATTTTGCATTGTCTGTCTGAGCTGATGTAGAGCAAGCCGATTCAGATTTTATTTCATTTTAATATACCAAAAAAAAAAAAGTTTTTTTCTAAATGAGTCTGGTTTTGTTGAAGTCTCAGTATCTTCCTGGAAAAAAAAACATTTCTGCCTGTCATCAGAAAAGTGAAAAATAAAATGGTTTTGTAAAACCTTTTCCCCTCTAAAGAACAAGCAAGGAAATTGCACCTTATTTTAAAATTCATTTTGGTATATAGATCTTTGGAATGTCTTGGTGTTTGGTTTGCACAGTTGTACAAACTTATTTTGTTATCTGTTAGCACTGTGTGAACTAGAGAAGAGAAGAGCAAAGGCTCCAGTGTATTTCAAGTAGTAGTGGATGACTGTGTGTGTAGAACATGGGATTTGAAGCAAGAAAACTTCAATTCTGTTCTCCACCATTGATTATGTTACCTTAAACAAGGATCTCCATCTCTTTATTCCTAATTTTAGATCTTTGCAACGCGTATTACAGTATCAGCTTCACAGAAGACATTAAAACTTTTTTTCTTCCTTGAGTATGAGTCATTGTTTGGATGGAGAAAAAAAGGAATGCTGTAACTTGAATTTATAGTAAAAATGTCTTTTTCCTATTCTACTTGTTCTCTTTCTGCAG